GGAAGGGAGAGAGAGAGAGAGAAGCACCGATCAGTTGCCTCCTGTACACAGCCTGACCAACATCAAACCCACAACCCAAGTATGTGCCCTGACTGGGAATTGAACCCTCAACCTTTCAGTGTATATGGGACCACACGCCAACTAATTGTGCCACCTGGCCAGAGCATAATTTACTTTTATTTTTTTAATCCTCACCTAAGGATATTTTTGCCACTGCTTTTCAGAGGGGGAGGGGGTGGGAGCAGGGAGAGAGAGACCAATGTGAGAGACACACTGATTGGTTGCTCCCACATGTGCCCCGACCAGGCCGGGGGGGCAAGCATGCAACCGAGGTTTGTGCCCTTGACTGAAATCAAACTCGAGACCCTTCAGTCTGCAGGCCAACACTCTAACCAATGAGCCAAATCGTCTAGGGCATAACTTACATTTTTAAAATAAGACATTAATTCCAAGTCTTTAAATTCCCAAAACTTATTTTGAATTTTTTTTAAAGTAATAAGGTTAATTACATTATCAAAGACAGCATAACTCCATGAAATAGTAAATTGACTGAAATTCACATTGCTCTGGCTCTACATTCAATCAGGCAAATTTAAAACTCTAATAACAACACACACCACCTTTTAAGTTACTAGGAACACATGATACTTACTTGAGCTGTCCTTCAGCTGTATCTGGACTATGTCTGTAGTGAAAATCAGTATAGGGTGCTAAAATTCGCTAATAAAAAGAAAAGCAGAAAAAGTGTCCTTACTGTAAAATGCATTTTTTCTGTAACAAGCTAAAATTAATTCTATATCTTTAATTGGGTATACTGTTTGAGAGACTTAATTCTTCAAACTCATCAAGAAATATATGTTTTTTAAACATAGAAATTGAATTTTTGAAATTTTAAATTGAGGTATAACATATATTTATATACACAAATCACAAATGTATGATTTGATGGATTTTCTCAAACTAAGTACTCTCTTCTACCCACAACCAGATGAAGAAAACATCAGCAGCCTCAAACCCTCCTTACTCGCCCTTTGTACTCACAAGTCACTACCGGCCCCAGGATTACTATCCTCACTTCTAACACCATGACTTAGTTTTGCCTGTTTTTGAACATTATTTAAATGGTTTTACTTTATAAATTACATTCTCCTCTTGTTGATAGTATAAAGAAACCCAAGTTCTTTTTTGTATATTGTCCCTGTATTCAGCAACCTTGCTAAATTCACTCATTTTAGAACTTTAACCACTCTATCTCGTTTTCTAATATCCCCCATTGCCTACTGCATTAGTGTGGTCTGAATTTCAATTTTAAATATAACTTAAAATATAGAAGACATCACTAATATCGCTTTTGACAATCAGTATTTTTAAAAAAATATTTAGTCATATATATACTTTTTCTGGTATTCTTCATTCCTTCCTGCATTTACTTGTTTGTCTTAAATAATTTTCCTTCTGACTGAAGAGCCCTTTAGCCATTCCTTCTTTGTGTCTGTCTTATTTTTAAACAACAATAAATATTTATTATCTCATATGGTTTTTGTGACTCAGGAATCTAAGAGGCTTAGCTGTGCAGTTACAACTCAGGGTGCCCCTGAGCTTCAAAATGCTGATAAGGGCTGCAGTCATCTGACAGCTTGATGGGAGCTGGAAGATCTGCTGTAAGATCGTTTACTCACAATGTGTTAGTTGTTGGCAACAGGGCTCAGATCCCCCCCATGTGTGCCTCACCTTGGGTTCTTTAGTGTCTTCATGCTATATAGGCAAGCAATCCAAGAAAGAATCGTGTTTCTTTATATTCCTTTGGGTCTTTAGTCTGAAAAATCTTTATGTTATCTTTGTTTTTGAAAATCATTTTCTCTGGGTGAGGCTGGCATTATTTTCTTTCCATCCTCTAGAGATTCCATTCTACTGTCTTCTGTTTCCATTATTTCTGTTGGGGAATCAGCTGTGAGACTTGCTCCTTTGAAAGTAATGTCTTTTTTTCTAAAGCTGCTCTTGATATTTATTTGTCTTGGTTTTCAACAATCTTACCATAATGTGCCTACATGGTATTTTCTTTGTATAATCGTATTTGGAGTTTTCTGAGTTTTATGAACATGAAGTTTCATCAGTTTTAGAAAAAGGAGTTTTGGCCATTGTCTCTTTGGGTATTTGCTTCTGCCCATTCTCTCTTCTCCAAAGTCAACAAAGATGTTTTATCCCTTCTGTTCTGTTCCTTTCTTTCCCCACACTCTGTGCTTTATTCCCAATATTTTTACTAACTTTTTTCCAGTTTACTAATGGTATCTTCTTGTCCAAAATGAACTTTAACTTCACTGAGTTCAGAATTTCAGGTACTATATTATATACTAGAATTTCCATTTGATTCATTTCATATATTATAATTATCTGGTGAAATTCTCCATTATTTCATCTATTTTCTTCCTCTTTCCCTCCATTTTCTTGAACAAATGAATCACGGTTGTTTTAAAGTCCTTTCCCTCTAGCTGCAATATCTGGATCACTTTTGGGAGTTTTTCTACAGAATATTTTTCTTTTTGATTTTCAGTCATATAGTCATATCTTTTTGTATGACCGTCACAGTCAAATTCCTGTTTAAATGTCAAGACGTGCTGAATTTTACAAAAGGTTCCAAGTGATGCTATCTCCATCAGATGATTTATCTTTTCCTCTGTAAGGTAGGTTAAGGCACCTGATCATCTTTTCCTGATCACCGAGTTAAATTGAGACTATGTTACAATTCTGATAAGATAGAGCACACTTTGGTTTTTCCTGTTCCTGAAGTATTGCCCTCCAGTGCTTTCAATAGGGTTTAGCAGTTATTTTTCTCCTTATCATTGAGACTGGAGTTTTTTCTCATTAAGTTTTGAACTTAGATCTTTAGTTATCCATCCAGGATAACTTCAGATTTTGGGGAATGTCAAGAACAGGAAATCAGTTATGAAATATCCAGTTTTGTCACTTTAGTACCATACAACTGCTAAATGCTCCTCCTGTTTTTCTGATCCCAGCAGAAGCCTATGTGAATTTTCAGCTTCTAATTATATCCTGATCAGTAAGTGGACCCAGGAAAAAAAGCAATTGCATAATCAGTGTACACTGCTTCTTAAAAGCCGTTAAACTTTTGCCCATGGCCCCTCCTCCTGGGAGGCCTTTGCATCCTGTGCACTGGAGACTGCAGCGTATTCCACCATGCTTTCCTTAGATTTTAACATGGTAGCTTCTGCTCTGCATAGATTCTCATTCAGCAAATGCCTGGAGGGGTAAGTCAGACTTGGTGTAGGGACTTTTGACATCTCTAGGTTTGTCATGCCATAACCCCTAGGACTGTCAAATACTCTGGTCTTCTACCTAGACCTAGGTCATATTTTTAGCCTGTGCCCAATCTGCAAGTGGCCTTAAGGGCATCTGTGGATGTTCAGGGCAACTCTCCAAGTATCTTCCATCCTTAAAACTTCACTCCCTCTAGTTCTTACTGCTTTCACAGCTCTATACTGCTTCAAATTTATGATTTCAAAAACTACCCAGCTCTTCTAGTTTTCCACAGCAGATACTATAAACTACCCTATCCTACTCTGAAGTATAAGTTTAATGTTTTTAAAATTTACTATAAAATTATAATTAATTTACAACCTTTACAGAGTATCTAGTCTATTAATATTATTATATTAAATCTACATTTTTTTTCCTGTCTGAGATCAAAACATATTACATATCATATAAAAGAAGTCAGGGTAAATTAAAAAAAATATTTCTAACAGGAGGAAGATTGGGACCTAACAACAGACCACAGCACTGAAAATGGTTCCTTTGTATATAGAAAAGGCAACCAATTATCAATTTAGAGTGAAAATTGGTAAAATATAATTAATAAAAATGAGGACACTATTCTCTTAACAGCAAACTCTACAATGAAGATGATAAAGTAGATGATGATGATGCTGAGTAACATCCAGGCAACCAGTATTTGTTGACTATTTATCATGTGCCAAGTACTAAATATTTTATGTAGATTACAATATATGAAAAGAACCTGGAAATGGCTAACTAATTTTACCTAGGAATAAATTGGTCAAGGACAGGCTAATAACTAGCCCAAATCATAAAGCTAGTAGGTCATACAGCAAAACATCAAAACAGGATCAATATAGTCCAAAGTCTATGTTCTCAATCACTATGCTACTCTGGGGGATCTTATTAAGGAAAAAAACAAAACTAAATATGTAGTTTTAAAAAACAAGACAGAAGCAAAGATACAGTCATGTACTTAAAACGTCTAACATATCATTTGAAGTTTTTTCACTTATATAAAGGCTTCCTAATTGGCTGTACAATTAAATAGAAACAAAAACAGGCCTACACATATTATCTTCCTTTACTGTAATCATCTCTCCAATATTTAAATTGTAGTTTCTCTACTTGGTTAAAAAACAAAACAAAAAAAATTAAAGCTAAATATACAGTAAAATATCAAAAATGCCGGTTTATTCCCAATGGACTACCAAGAATAATGTATTTAAATCACATATTAAGAAGAATATTGTACTTAAATTTGTTAATATGATATAAGCTAATCTCAGTGTTACAATCTCAAATATTTCTAATAGCCCTAAGAAAAACAGAACTATAACATTTAAGACAAGTTTTATATAAAATGATTTCGAGAGACAAACTAGGGAACAATAAATTGTATCTTGTATAATTTCAACCCCAATACAAACAAATCCTGAGTTTATGCTTACTCTAAATGTACCTATAATGAACAACAATGTAGTACATTCACACAAGTAAACTATTAGAATATAGTTTGTGATAATTCTGTTCCAACCTCCACTATCTACTTTATTTTTTTTTTACTTCACCTTTACTGTTGAAAGTATTACAGATGCCTCCCCCCACCACTGACTCCCCCTACCTCACACCCACACCCTGCCCCAGGCCCTCACTACACTATTGTCTGAGTCCAGGGCTATGCATATATGCATATAAATTCTTGGTTATCAAAGAGTGTATATATAGTAGCCTTATTATTTTAGACTAACTATAAAAAACAATGAATTAGTAAAAAATGAATAAATAAATTTCTTTAAAGTATATATGGTCATTAGTTGCTAATGAGTGCTTCTAAGTTCACAGACTTTTAACAGGGTTTAAATAAGTAAATGGTTACAGAAATTAACAGCCATATTGGTCTAGAAACATTCAATATAATTTTTTCCATTTGTACAGAGGTAACGCACTGTATTAAATATGTAAGGTCTTAATCTACATGGGTTTGATTACAGAAACTAATAAAGTAGTTTCTAAATGAAAATAAACAAATAAATAAATAAATGGTATATAATTAGCAGAAGCTATTCACAAACAAGATATTAAAGTCTTTAAGAAGAAACAGTCTTCTCAAATAGGTAAATATCTATGTAACCTTACATGTGCTTTAATTTGCTTAGTAAAATTTTCATAGTTAAAAAAATAAACTTCACTTTACACATGGAGGAAATATTTTGAGAATAGCAATATTTTTCAATTCATTCCAAACTACATGAGTTATAGGGTACTGCTGGGAATAAGCCAGTTATTAGTAAGTTTAGGTTTGATAATGCTGCATCTACTAACTTTAGAATTTCAAAATAAGAGTTGTATTTAAAGTCACATTTTAAAACTAGAAAAGAATATTAAAGTTCCTACCTCTAATTCTACATCAGCTCGCACATACTGTCGGGTCTTTGGATGATTAAGGAGGTGCAAAATTGTAGTAATGAGGGCCTCGTTTATTCGACTTAACTGGCAGTCAATCACATTTTTCAGGATGGTGTTTAGGCCACCTCGAAGGGCCACCACCTCTGGATTCTGAAGTGCTATAATAAAGAAGAAAAATTCAATATATTACATAGGGGATAATTAATAAAAAGTAATGAGAAATCTGGGATTTTATTCTAAATTTCCTTTCTGACTTGAAAAACTTAGTCAAGGACAGTGAAAAGGGAATGTGGATAAAATGTATCTAATAAGAGTCACTAAATATACTTCCCAAAACTGATTTTAATTTTTATGTTTCTGAACTGTTTTTTCATATCCTTTGTTCATATTTTACTGAGTTTTTCTTTCCTACCAATTACAAGGACTTTTTTATATAGTGGGAATATTAGCCCTTTATGTTTCAAATCTTTTATTGGATTTGTAATTTTACTTTAGATTTTAAGCTGATTTCAAGGTCAGGAACTCCTTTACTTCAAAGATCAGGCACTTCTTTGTATACATGCACAAACATGAAGCTGAACTTTTTAAATATGTTGTTTGCCCATGTATTTATTTGAGATCTATCTTTCCTATCGATCTGTATATACATAAGTTATTTACTTATTGTGTTTGTTACATTTATTTTTCCTTTGTCCTGGCACTGTAGCATGTTTTCTTGCCTCTTTATAATAAAATCTACAACTGCTGAAACCTGATTTTCCTTTGTAATTCAAAATTCCTCTTCCTCACAATGATTAGTAAATATCCATCCACTTTTCCCCGTTTTTCCCATTTAACTCTTTAATCTTTTTGCATTTAGAATTCTTTTTAAAAAACGTATGATGGACTGTTTATTGTTTTGAACCGACATCAAGATATAGTATAGTTAACTAATGTCTGATAGCCAAACTTTAATAAGAGATTTTATTGTAATTACCAGAATTTGGACAATTCTTATACACTAAATTTCATGATGAGAAGAACTTTGAAATTTATACTTTTCAGGTCACTTAGAAATTATTTGTTAAATAGCAAGTCCTCTACCCACTATCAGGAATGTCCTACTTTTTCATCTTTGTACCAATAACTAAAGAATTTATGTTAAAGGCATTAAGAAATTTTACATATTCTTTCTAAAATACTGTATTTTTATTATTCAGAATTCTAACCTAGTTCACAGATAATAGCAATGCATGCTCGGACCATTCTGTCTCTTTCTTGAAGTCCATCATTTCCAACTGCTATTAATGAGTTGGCCACAGAGCTAGGAAACAAGGAAGCATTCACAGTAATCATCTGTAATAGGGAGAAATCAGAAAAAGAAGTTACTTACTTCATAATACATTTTTAAAACCTACTTTGTTTGGATTGAGATTTCTAAGGCCATAGAGTATTTATGAGATCCGGGCATCAATTTAAATCTTCTTTCACATAAACATTTCAAATAATTAATATAACTAATAATTGATGCAATATTAGCCCTATAGTAATGCTAATATCATTACTATAAAAAATGTGTTGGCTTTTTCCCCTAGTGGCCCAGACCATAAATTAGTTAACCAACAAGATATAATGTTTCTAAGATACTAAGTTCCTCTGGAACAGAACCTGTATTTTAAATAACTCGATACCTAGACAAAGGATATTAGTGGGAACAACAGCTGTCAACATACTACTATACTACTGCACCCCTGACTTCCTTCTCCATATGCCCATTAACCTCACTGTCTCTACTCTCCTCCCCAGCAAACTCAGTGACTTGGCTCCTCATTCTTTCTCACCTTGCTGCAATTGATGCTAATAATCTCCCTGTCTCTAACCATCACTTGTTGCTATTCCAAAACGCAAAGTTAATAATCTATAATCTATTTTTAATATTTCAAAAATTATGATATAAATAGTATGTATCTGGTAATAAACTTTGGGTGAATCTCACTTTAAATGAGAAGTTTAACTGGCAATAACATATTTGGAAAACAGAAAATATGTAACACATATCTTCAGTTTGGAAAACAGAAAGAAAACAAATTAAGTAGTTAATGACTATTTAATAAATAAAGGCTATCTGGTAAATGAAGTATTTCAAAATAAGTCCCTGAAGTGGGAGTAAAAGAAAATGTTTTCTTCTATTTGGGTGGTGATAAAATATTGGGGATAATTAACCTGTCCTTGATGTTACTGGATTTATAATCCTGTTGAAAAATAAAACTTGTGCTGTGAAGCAATTAGAGGATGTGATATAACTAAAGATACCCATATAAGTCCTATAAAGGGGTCAAAGGAAAGATCTGTACTGGCTAGAGTACTTACAAATGCTTTATGTTGTTTAAGAAGCATTATGTAATATTACAAAGTTCAATTGAAATGATAGACACTGTTCCACAACCATAAAATAAAGAGATTTCCAACAACTATAGAATCTATAAAAGTTTTCACATTCATTTCTTAATCAGTCTTTTCCACTCATCAAAAATTTTGGAGGAGGGAAAGAAAGGGAAAGGAAGTATAGAAAACTGATCTTTCTGGATGAGAAAATTCTAACTTCTTATGATATTAATTTGTATTTTAATACTTACTGATCCATTATTACGCTTATAAGGAGCAAATGAGAAAAATTTCTCCCCAAATAAAACTAAATATATTCTGAAAAGAGCTGGCTAGGAAGCCAGGCCACGTGGCTTTCAGAGCTAACTCTATCATTAGTAAACTGTTATCATGGCCAAATCAATCCTCTCAGTGCTTCTGTTTCCTCATGCGTAAACAAAGGATATGTATAACGAGGTGGCTTCTAGAATTTACATATAAAATCCTACTCTATGAAGCTCAAGTGCTATAAAAAGGATACCTATAATTTTTTTAAACAAATGAAATCTCTCATTTTCCAGGGAAATATATGGAAAGAAACTCTTAAACTCTGTGCAAATAAGAAAATACAGTTCTCATAAATCAATGAGAACGCAACAAAAAAAAAGTCATAGAATTTATCTCTACTGAAAGAAAAGTTTAATCATCTTTTTAGGCATGATAGGACAAACAGATATAAAACAAATTAAAGAGTAGGTAATAATTTGTAAACTGCTATAAAGGAATTAGAAAGACAGAGTTCTCTGAGCGGGAATATCTGAAATTTGAACTGAAACTGAAAGATGAATATAATGTAGAAAATGGTAAAAATGAAACAAAAAGAGTAGCAAAGAAATAATGATCATAATAGTGGTAGAGGGCAGCTTGACCACACACATAATGGCATAATGAGACAGGTCATAACTGGTAGGACTGAAAGTTGGCTCTGAATGCCAAGGTAAGCAGATTGTGTTTAATACCAAGAATAATTGTGGACCAATAAAGATTTGGCAATCTAAAGAACTAAGTTCTTGCACTGGATATGCCAATATCTTGCTGGGAATCAAGGCAAATAATTTCCCTAAAGGAACTGCTTTTCAATTGTAAAACAAAACAAAACAAAACAACCTGATATATTAATCTCTTATTACATGGATCAAAAAATGATACATGGCCCTAGCCAGTTTGGCTTCATGGTTAAGAGTGCTGGCCTGCGGACTAAAGGGTCCCAGGTTTGATTCCGGCCAAGGACACATACCTAGGTTGCAGGCTCAGTCCCCAGCCTGGTTGGGGCATGTGCAGGAGGCAACCAATTGATGTCTCTCTCAAATCGATGTTTCTCTCTCTCTTTTTCCCTTCCGCTCTGAAAAGCAATGGAAAAAATGTCCTTGGTTGAGGATTAAAAAAAAAAAAGAAAAAGAAGAAATGATATATGAAGAAAATGATAACTTACACTTTAAAGAGAATAAAGAAAAGCAACAGGTGACCGGTGAAAAAACTGTACACAAAATTAGAAAGGTAAACAAGGAAGGATCGCTTAGACTGGAGAGACAGGGGAAAAAATAATAGATATTGAAAAAGAAACAAGAAAGCAAGCAAAAATCTTCCAAATGATTGAAGTAAATGAAAGAGAAGGAAAAATAACGAGTATTCCTTATTTACTCATAGAGCAAGTTATCCTAAAGCAACAAATATTTTTACTTTTCTTTTAAAATATAAAATACTTTTACAAAAAAACTTAAAACTTTTTTGAATTCAGCATACAAAAACCCTCAGTGACCTAGCAATTATAGTATTATCATTAATTTTTACTATATCAGTTGCCAAGATGTTACTGAAAAAAAGAAATGTTTACTTTTGTTGTTAAAAGTACTAATGAAATTACAGTTCCTCTGGCCAATAGAGGCCACTGTTCATTCAGCAGGTGTGCTTTCCCCATCACTGCTTTCAGCTAAGCCAAGGAGGAACCTTGTGCCCCAACTTTCCCTGTGAGCCTATATTCTACCACCAGGCACAAGCAACTTTTCTGCTCTTAGTTTCACAAATAGTATCTGCCAGAAACTACTATGTACCTTCAGAAGATAACACAATAGAATGTACTTTTGCTGTGACATTAACTAAACTGTTTTCAAGAGTTTGTTTACTTTTATTGGCTATTTTATAAATTGCAACTCGTATAAAAATTTTATAGAATTGAAATATTCTCTAAATGACTCAAAACAACTGAATTTGTTTGAATTCATTTGAGGCTGTCTTTTCTTCTGAATTTCCAGGGCAACAATTCTCAAAGAGTGGTCCAGAAAACTGGGGGTTCCTAGGAAACTTTCAGGGACTCTACAAAGTTAAAATTATTTTCATAATAAAACAAAGAAATTATTTGTCTTTTTTTCTCTCATTCTCTCACAAATATATACTGAAGTTTCCAGAGGCTCCCCTGCATGTGAAATCACAACAGATTAAATGCAAAAGCAAACAGGATAACCCAGCAATCTCCTATCAAGACAAATACTACAGAGATTTGAAAAAATCTAACATAATGCCACTATACTCATTCATTTCCTTTTTAGCAAATATAGTTATTTTCATGAAAATATTATTTATGTTTACATATGAGTATGCTATTTTTAATATGTTAATATATTTTAATTTCTCAATTTAACTACTAAAATATGATAAATATTGACATAACTCTAATAACCAAAAAGTTATTCTAGGTTCTTCACAGACAACTTTGGCTTTTTTATCTTGAATTCTCAAAATCATGGTGGTAGAATAGAGTGTATGAATAAACAAAAATCATAAATCTAATTTTTAAATTTAAAGAGTCTAACCATGGTCCCAATATAAGTTTACCAAAAACAAAACTCATAATATCCAATACCACTCTTAATAAAAATTGCAAACATCTCTTAAGACAACTCATCCATTTACTTCTTCCTCACTATGTTCACCAGTGGATACCATTCCTAACCACAAGCTAGACAATTGGCAGAAAAGGAAAAAGAGGGAATCTAGTTAACTCAGCATTGCGTGTTCTGGAGCATGCAATGAATTCCAAGGTGGGGAAAGAGAAAAGTTACAAAATTTAATTACTATATACTTCAGATGTTTTTACATCCAAACATATACTTCATGAGTCTCACGATGTTTAGAATCGAACATGATACTTAAAGATAAACATGATAAAACTCTTACACAAGCTATATCCTAACAAAGTTAACACTCAGTTCATTCTGTTCCTCTGTCCTTGGGGCGTCACATTACATTAAACAACAACAAATTCCTTGAAGGCCTCTCATTATAAGCATTATGAATTAACCTTAACACATTCTCTTACAGGGTTTTAGATTTTGGCCTTACTGCAACTGCCTATATAGACTGCATCCAAATTCATCTTCAAAACAACTAACTATAACTATTTGTGACATCCATTTAATAGTATTAGCTCCAAGCATACAATTAAGAAAAAATCAGGGGAAAGAGCAAGTAATCCTCTTTCTCAATAGCGTATCAAAGTGGTAATTTCATTTACATGTCTACTAAAGGGAGAAACAGTCTTTACAATGAACATTTTATAAAAAATATTGTTCTAGCTATACCCAATCACATAGAATAATTACACAAATACTTATGCTCACCTCAAAGTTTAATAGACCTATTTAACTCACATATAATTTTAACAATAATGTTTAATGAGAATTTAGCCTTTAAGTTTTTTTCCCCCTTTATAAGCATCAATATGAGAGTGACTGAAACATCCATCAGTTGCCTCCCTCACGCACCCCGACTGGAGATCAAACCCACAACCGCAACCTGGATCGTGCCCTGAACAAAAACCGAACCCACAACCCTTTGGTGTATGGGATGAGGCTCCAACTAACTGAGCCATACCAGCCAGAGAGAAAATTTAGCCTTTAAACTTTAATAGAAAGGTTTTACAAAATAGTCTAAATCTTAAAAATGTAAAATGACAAGAAATCCATAAATCTGCCTTTACTCTTAGACATGGAGCATACCTTTCTGACTAATCGAAGTGCTTGTGTCCTCTCTACCTCGTTGCTCTGCTGTATGTCAATGCACCTAAATAATACACAAAATAATTATTGATAAAAGTCTTATTAACAGTTTTTGGTAAAACAATACTATTACATCAGACTCATATTTGTAATGTCAATATGGTATTTAAAAATTTTAATACACATGAATTTGTAGTACCAGCTGATATTTATTAGCTTACATATCTCTAGTGATAAATACCTGTTATAATAAAACATTTCAAAACTACTTCATTTAACACTACAGAAAAATAGGTAGAATATAGCAAATAATTCACAGAATTACATATGTCTATACAGAAATAATAAACATAGAGCCAAGTACCGGAAATCTACTGCAAAAAAAATTCATGTGTCTGATAAAATTCAGATATTTTATAAAAACTGTGAAAGGAAAATATTTTAAGCCTATGGTTTAGTTTGTGATTTTAACCAGGGCCTAAATTTTATATACAGGGCTGAGCAAAAGCAGGTTTACAGTTGTGAGTACGCAAAACAGTTTATACTTGTATTATTATTTATTTTTATTGTATTTTTTCTATATGAAAAACTGTAAGCCTACTTTTGCCCCATATCTGTATTATGACTAAATTAAAAATCTTATGTACTAGCCACAATTCTATTTTACCAAAATATAATCTGAAGTCCGAATGCACTTCAAAAATTAATGCTCAATCAACTATCACTTAATTGATACTTCTCCCTAAAATTTATTAAATAGTTCCATTTCCAAAGTCTGATTTATGTTGAAGAATAAGTCATTTTCACTTACATTTATGCAGTTCATTATTCTAATCAATACATATAGTTTGCCATTCAAAACGCACTTCTTCTCTCTGTATATAATCAATCTAGAGCAATGTTATTAAAAAGTAACAGAGAATTCCACTTCTGGTCACAACAGAGAGGCTTGGCTCAGAACAACCCTCCTGCCAAAAACTACTACAAAGGTTGAACAAACTACTTTGTAAAACCTCTGTTAAAAGGGCAATGGGTAATAAACCCTGGAAAGAGAAGCTCATACTCCACATCCACCCCAGGCTTTGTCCCTGGGGGTCTTTGTCAACCCCCCATTGTAGGGAAATAGAGTCATAGCAGACACTAAAGTATTGCTGGACTAGAGGGACAGGCTGAACTTTAGGGCAGCACAGTGGCTAGAACTTGAGGGGGGGAAATCCCATAAAGAAGAAAATATGGGAAAGTAAGTACAAATCTGCATGCAATCTCCTCCAAGGCACTTGCCAACTTCTATGTTGTGCAAAAGCGGGGTTAAAATCCAAGAAAGCAAGCTAAAAGCTACTGATGAGATGCTAAGGAATTGAGCAGGTATTTCAGCAGGTACATAATACTCTAAGATAGACGTTAGGACTCAAGTCTGGTCAAGGTGAAGAGGTTCTACTGAATATCTACACTTTCACTTGAGATCCCAAATAGCCACTTCCTAGAGCAAAGGCAAAGCTAAAACCACCAGCGTGATACGTCAACATTCCAGAATAAACCTTAACTCTCTTAGGGGAGAATGACATGATCCAGAACCAAAAATTCTGAATATACAATGTTCACATCCAATCAGATAATAATATAAGATATGCTTTAAAACAAAGGGCCAAGTGAACAAAAAGTAAGAAAAGAAAATGACGACAGAAATGGAACACAGGCAATTCACATATGTGAGTTTTCATGCAGAGCTCTATAAATGACCAATTAATATGGTCAAGAAAGTAGAAGATGACGAAATAGGTAGAGACCTAGAATCTTTAAATAAGAGGAAAATAAATCACAGAGATACAATAACTAAAACTAAAAATTCAAGAGACTGATTTACTAGCAGGATGGAGGCATTAAAAAACACACACTGGAGCACAAATATTAACAACAAAGGATGAAAATACAGCAAGGGCATCGGAGACACGTGGGACAGTGACTGGACAAACAGATTCAACTTATGTAGCTGGAGTAACATACAGTAGGAAAGAATATAACGAGAAAACTTTTAAAGTAGCCAGAAAGGGAAAAAGACGTATCACTTACAAAGGAGCAACAAAAAAGAGAAGTTCAACAGGTTAAAAAAAACAAACCAACCAGAAGACACATTTGAAGCACTGAAAAATAGCAACTGGTCAATTAAAAAAGCCTTCAGCCTGGCTCAGTGGCTGAGCGTTGTTGACCTATGATCCAGGAGATGCCAGTTCGATCCCAGTCAGGGCACATGCCCGGGTTGTGGGCAGGATCCCCAGTCGGGGGCATGCAGAGGCAGCTGATCAATGACTCTCTCATCATTGATGTTTCCATCTCTCTCTCGTCCTCTCTCTGAAATCAATAAAGATATATTTTAAAAAGCCTTCAAATAGGAAGGCAAAATAGAGGCATTTATAGACAAGTAAAAGAGGAGAGAGCTCATCTCCAAAAACCCTACACTACAAGAAACAGTAAAGAAAGTTCATCAGATAGAAAGTGATCCAAGATGAAAGTGTGGAAATGCAAAAAGGAAGAATACTGGAATGCATAAATAATGTAGGTAAATATCAACAGCTGCAGTTTAAAACAATGACAATATTATCCTATGGGGTTACAAACATATATAGAAATAAAAAATAAAGGAATAACACAAAAGAGGGGAGAAGATATAGTTAAACTGTAAGAGGTTTCCTGCATTGTGCTGGTTGTAATAAAAATGATAGACCTGAACAATGTGAAGGATACATGTAATCTCTAGGGCAACTGCTAAAGACATTAATAGAAGAGAAAAAATTCTTGATTATTCCAATAGAAACAAAAAGGAGAAACACAAAAACAAAGGACAAAGAACAGATGTGACAGAGTACAAATAGCAAGAAAGCAAACAAACTCAAATATATGAAAAACCTGATAGCTAGATGACAAACTCATATATATAAAATTACATTTAGATAAAGCCCAGAGACCATGTATATGAAAAATCACTAAACATAGTCTAAACACTCTAATTAGAAGACAGATGTCAAGCCAGTTTAAAAACAAAAAAACACCTATATGATGTTTATAGGAGAGAAATGTAAGAACAGAAAAGATAGAAAGTGAAAGAATGGGGAAAGGTATATTATAAAATCCTATGGAGAAGAAAGTTAGTGTAGGTTTAATGATTTAAAAAAAAAAAAAAATCTTTATTAATTTCAGAGAGAGGAAAGGAGAGGGAGAGAGAGAGAGAGAGAGAAACATCAATGATGAGAGAGTCATTGATCAGCTGCCTCATGCATGCCTCCGACTGGGGACCAAGCCCGCAACCCGGGCATGCGCACTGACTGGGAATTGAACCCCGATCACCTGGATCCTAGGTCGACGCTCAACTGCTGAGCCATGCCCAGCTGGGAGGTTTAATGATTCTTATTACGAATGCAACAACAAAACTTCAAAATATATAAAGGACTGACACAAGTAGAAAATCTTAGTAGTACTAATAGTCCCCTATTTGTTAAAGAAACTGAGTCCATAATCTTAAAACTCCTAAAAAGAAAACCACAGGCCCAGACATTCACTTGTGAATTCTACTAATCATGTAAGAAGAAAACAGTATGTATCTTACATAAATTCTTCCACAGAATATAATGAGGGCAAAACTTCCCTAGTTGTTTTATAAAGCAAACATACTCTTGATACCAAAACCAAACAAGGACATTAGAAGAATGGAAAAACATAAGCCAATACTTCTCATGAACATAGCTGAAAAAATTTTTCACAAAATATTAGCAAACCAAATTCAGTTATACATGAAAAGGATGAGACATTATGAACAAGTGCTGTTTACTTCGGGAATGCAAACAAACAATAGGAAAAATCCTTTAAAATCTACAGCTTTCATAAATAAGAGCAAATACTGAACACTTTCAATCTGGGTTTAGGAGTAAAACAAAGTTTTCCACTATCGCCATTTCTAGTCAGTGCAATATTCTAGCCAATGCGATAAGGCAAGAAAAATAAATATATAAGGATTGGAAAGGGAAAAATAAAATGGTCATCATTTGCAATTAATGCTTATGTAATAGAAACTAAAATAATTTTTAAAATAATTAGAACTGAAAGTGAATTTAGAAAGATAACTAGATCAGGGGTTAATATACAATAAAAACCACAACACAGTTATTTTTCTATGTTAGTAAAAAAATTATGAAAAAGATTTAATTACATTAAAAAATAAAAATATATAAATCATAAAACTATACCTTAAATAAACCTAATAACTATGTGCAAGAGCTCTGCACAGAAAATTACAAAATGCTGAGAGAAATTAAAGTTCCAAATAAATAAAGGTTTGGATGATTCAACATTACTAAGGTGTAAACTCATCCCAAATTAACCTACGGCTTCAATGCAATTGCTATTAAAATCTCAGAAAGTTTTATGGAAATGTACAAGATGATAATGTAAAAGTAGATCCATATTTATCTGTTACCTGATTTACAAGAGTGACACTAATCTAAACGTGAAAGAAAAATCTTTTCAATAAATGTTGCTCATATTTATTGGATATCCAACAAAAATGAATCATTACCTACTGAAATGTATTAAGGAATAAATACTTTAGGAAAAAACATAGAATATCATCTTTCAAAGTTACCTAAAGCATTAAGTATAAAATAAATGACCTCTAATTGAATTTTACTAATTAAGAAAAGTGAAAAGGTAAGGCAGACTGATTTGGAGAAAATATTCTCAACATGCATACCTGAAAGGAATCATACACAGAAGACATCAAGAACTCCTACACAACAAGATAGACAATCGAATATATAAATGAGCAAAAATCAAGGAGGACACCCAAATAGTCAACAAGCAAAGAAAAGGTGCTTAATGTCACTTCTCATCAGGGACATCCAAGTTAAAACCACAAAGGGAATTCACAATGAAAACCAAAAGGCTGTAATTACAGACTGAAAATAGCAAGTGCTGATGAGAATGTGGAAAGACTGGAACTCTCAAATACCGCTGCTAAGAATTTTAATCAGTACAATCATGTTGGAAAACTGTTGGCAGGATCTATTAAAGATAAATATAAACTTTATGACCTAACAATTCACTCCTATGTATATACCTGAGAGAAATGAGTGCATATATATGTCCATCAACGGAATTGTACAGGAAGTTCAGGAACGCTTTATTCAAAACAAATACTGAAAACAACTCAGAAAATCATCAAAAGAATGGAATAAATTAATTGTTGTCTATTCATAACATGAAATACGACACAGCAATTTTCAATATATGATGTTCAAGAACAGGAAGAACTAGTCTACAATATGAAAAGTCAGAATAATACTTATTACTGGTTGGAGACACAAGGAAACTTGAATGGGATGCTGAAAATGTTCCATTATCTTATTTGGTATAACAGGGAACTTGTTGTCTGTATCTGTAAAAGTTATCAGGCTTTACACTAAAAACCTGTACTGTTTATGGTAGGTATGCTAAAAATTAATACATAATTTTTAAAACATATAAAAACACAGAAAGCTCTTGGAAAATTACCTGGCTATTAAATAGTCCACTTTCAATTTAAGCACCTTCTGCAAAATACTGGAGTCTTGGATGAGATATCGAAGAGCTCGTAGCCCTGCTGCCCGCACTTCTTTTGCTTCATTCAATAAAGCTAACCGCAAGCTGTTTGAAAACAAACAAAAAGTTTTGCTGCACAAGTTTCAAACACATGTAAAATTATGGTACCAAATTCTTCCTCAGTTGAAATCAGCAAAACTACTACTTATTTTACACATATAAAAACCATTTGCTGTAAGCCATGAAATTTCACTAATGATAATTTTTCATCTGTGCCTCCTTGGTACATTCTCACCATTAAAGAAAATGCTATTGAGTTTTGTCCTACTACCTGTAGTTTATTTTATATAAACAACGGGACATTAAATATGCCTTTTTCAAGCTGTAACACGTATGCCACTATAACCTATTACTCTCTATCTGCCTACCTGCTTCCAATCCTCTAAAAAAAAAAATCACTGGTTTAAACAATAAAAATACTTTATAATGACAGGTACAGATTATTTATATCAATTTTAATTCCTAAGCATGCCAAAAAGATGGATTATTATACTAGAACGTTATGCCTCTATTAGTGGGCATGAGCAAATCAAGTTTGCCATTTAGAAGTTTAAATTGAAAAAGTCCAGCTTTTTTTCAACATTAGCTTTGGCTCTTTATATTTGATAATTACAAAATATCAGAACAGGATAACAAATAAAATTTTGGAAATCCTGAATTTTTCTAATGTTCAAACAATTGTTTCTATAAGATTAAATATGAGGTGTTAACATTCCTAATTTTAGTTTAAAATTACTAAAATAGATACTACTAAAATCCAGAAGAGGTGAGAAAAGAAACTAAACTCTACTTACCAAATTATAATATCCTCATAGTTAAAACCCAATTTTTCTTCACTGTGGCCAATATCACAAAGAAGCTGTCAGGAAAAAAAAACACCAAATATGTATTTGTTATACATTTTTGTCTATATACATTACTCTTTTAGATTGGAAAATAAAAATTTTAGAATGTCATTTTACAGTTCAAACATGCAGAGTTATTTCTATCATCTTATTGTCGTTTTATTACTTGACCTGCCAGTTTTTCATTTCTTGAATCCTCCTCTCTGGCCTTCATGTGAAAGCAGCAATTATTTTGGATTATTCTATTTTCCCCCTCAACAATTTTACCACTCTCTTCACGTAGCAAAAAGCTAATGATTTAAGTTCATTATCCTATTGGTAGGATCCTTGTAAATTTTCCTACCCAATTTCTTGTTTAGAGGCAAAAAAAGATTCTAACAGAACAGTGTTGGGGATAAGAACAGAGTGCTCCTCAGATACTGCAGTGCTTTCGGAACACGATGGAGACTATACAAATGATCACTTTATGTGGTGGGAAAATGCTCTAGATATAGGTAATTAGGCAACGCAATTAAAAAGCTTTTCTTCACATGTATTTATCGAAAATGGTTTTACTGGTGTTCCTATAAAAATCTTTAAAGTTCTGAACTATGAGAAACAAAAGAGCTTTTAGACTTTCAAGAGTATGAATATTTTTTTGTTGTTATTTTTATTGTGTTTTGTTACCTAATGTAAGTACTTTAAAATTGAAAATAAAAATTTTTTATACATACATAAATTTAAAATAATAATGTAAGATTCCCTAAGCTTTGAGACAAGAAAAAAATTTCTATATCTCTAAAAAACCAATTGTATACCCTAAATTACAAGTTAAATAAGCTATTAGTCATAAATATTATTTGCAAAAGGTGAAGAGCCCTGTATTAGTTTGTTAGGGCTGCTGTAACAAATACGACAGACCTGGTGCCTTAAACACTAAAATTTATTTTCTCATGATTCTGGAAACTACAAATCCAAGATCAAAGTGTCTTCACAGAGTTTCCTTGTTCTGAGGGCCTCTCTCTTTGGTTTGTAGATGGCTAGCTTCTCTGTGTCTTCATATAGGGCGTGGCAAAAGTAGGTTTACAATGTGAGTATGCAAAAGTTTATTCTTGTGTTATTATTTATTACTGTATTATTTTCCATACAAACAACTGTAAATCTATGTTTGCCCCACCCTGTATAGTCATTCCTCTGTGTGTGTCTGTGTCCTAATCTCCTTTTCTTATCAGGACACCAGTCATATTGGATTAGGGACCATCCATGTGACCTAATCTTACCTAAATTACCTCTTTAAAGGACCTATCTCCAAATACAGATATACTCAGAGGCACTTGGGGGTTAGGACTTCAACTAAAGAAATAATGGGGGTGTGTGCGAAGGGGTTACAATTCAGCCCATAACACTTCACCCTCACCTAACAAAGTAATACTGGCAGGCCCTTGCAGTGTAAAAGGTTTAAATGAATTGAGGGGAAACATTCTCAGAAGAGACAAAGAAAACTCAAAGAATTTACTGAAGAAATAAAATTGATAAACATGACCTGTTTCCTGTTCCCTAGAACCTAAATCAAGTGCACTGAAAAATTCCATTTAAAAAAAGTTTACCAAATTGGTGAGAAATTGTTTTTTAACATAATTATACCAGATAAAAAAATACATTGCTGATTATAAACTGAAAATATCTTGTAAAATAAACTGAAAAAAAAATGCACCAGGATCAGAAATTACTTTTGATGATTTATATTAAAATGATCTCACTGTGAAAAATCTTACTACAACTTTGTACTGAAATTATTTACATGGGGAGAGGGGAGGGAGTGGACATAAAAAAATAAATATCTGGCCCGGCCAGGCATGGCTCAGCGGTTAAGCATTGACCTAGGATCCAGACTGTGGTTTGAGTCCCGGTCGGGGCACATGCCCAGGTTGTGGACTCTATCCCCATTTGGGGGCGTGCAGGAGGCAGCCGATCTATGATGACTCTCCCATCACTGATGTTTCTGTTTCTCTCTCTCCCTCTCCCTTCCTCTCTCTGAAATCAATGAAGATATATTTATATATATATTATATATATATATAGTTCATTTGTTAACTACATTTATATATTGTTCATTTGTGCTAGAACAGCTAACTAAAAACATGCACACAAAATTTGCTCATTTTAAAGGATTAGAACACAAAAAAATCCTACACTTATCACTATTAAAAATAATTTAGTATTTATTTGAGATTTCTCAGTTATTTCAGATTACTAGCACTGTCACTATATAGTACTATATACTAATAAAAAAGAAAAATCAGGACTGTTTATGATTATAACCACAGTGTTAGGATTACTTAGACCTTGGGCATACTCTTAATTCATAAATTTCATAGAAAAATGAAGTTTAGAATTTGTTTATATAAAATATAGAGTTTTTTAAATGGGAAAAATGTTACTTTCTTAAAACAATGACTTATACATATCCACCAAATTTCTAGAGAGGCAATGTTTGCATTCTTCATCCACAGGAGTCACCGACGTTAAATGAAATGCTCTGAAATCCTAAAAATAGGTTATAAAGTTTTGTCCTATCATACTGGTTTCTCCCCGAAGTGTGTGCTTGGTTCTCATTTCCTGCATTATCTTTCTCACAACTGCCAAATATCCTTGAAAAAAAACACCTACAGATTCAGAGAACATAATTTCCCAATTATCCACCTTCCCAGACCACAAAGTATGTGACTGTTCACCATTTAACATTTGCTAGTTAGCAGTTTTGATAAAAAAGGTAAAACAAAATTTAAAGTTATTACTATGATCTCAAAAAACACAATCTAGAAAGTATTTAGAAAGAAGTATCATTTTCTGCTATCTAATATTCAAAGCATTTCAGTTGCAAGAAACATTTCTGAGAAAAATGTCCACTCAGCTGGAAACTGGAAAATCACAAGTAACTACTACAAAGAACAATTTACAGTGAAACATAGCATATTAGTCATAATCTGTGCCTATTTTTCAGGAATAGTAATAGATGTTAGGGTGTTGCTTTTAAAGGTGGTTAAATAATGCTTTCAAGTTGTTGCCAGAATTACAGAAGAAGGGTTTATTGATCAGTCTTAAGTTAAAATATCCCTTTTGAATTAGAATTACCCCAAGCAGAGACTAAATTTTCTATACATACATAATTTACATATATCAGGAATAAGTAATTACAAGATATTAATAAGATTCTGACTTTCAATTATCAAATAAGTATGTTTACTTTTCATCACCAGTTCACTTATAGTAAGATTCAAAATATCAGGAATAAGAATAAATTATTTTAATACAAAATTCTTGTAGTGACTGACTCACTACCTTACTAATTATCACCTAATTTAAATAACCAAACCCTAAAGTACAAATAAAGCCCCTTAACTCTTACTCTAGGAAAAAGGGAGGCAGAAATAGCAAAAACCCCACTGAATAGGTGAGTTTAAACAATGGGAATTTCATCTTGCCTCAACTACTGAATGGAAGATGAATTATTAATTAATCTTAGATTTTTTATTTTTTTTAAATATATCTTTACTGATTTCAGAGAGAGGAAAGGAGAGGGAGAGAGAGAGACAGAAACATCAATGATGAGAGAGTCATTGATCAAGCCCGCAACCTGGCATGTGCCCTGACTGGGAATCGAACCCCAATCTCCTGGATCCTAGGTCAACACTCAAACGCTGAGCCACACCCGGCCGGGCATAATCTTAGATCTTTAGGTAGCAGTTCCTTCACTACTATCTTAGCCACTACAGGTAACTTCCTATCTCCTGTACAAGTTTTTAAAATGTAATACTGCCTGCCTTATATCACTGAGGTTTGTTACATTAAGAATAAATCACTGCCCTAGCCGGTTTTGCTCCGTGGTTAGAGCGTTGGCCTGCAGACTGAAAGGTCCCGGGTCCATTACAGCCAAGGGCATGTACCTTAGTTGCAAGCTCGATTCCCGGCCCTGGCAGGGCACCCTCTGGAGGCAGCCAATTGATATATCTCTCACACTTTGGTGTTTCTCTCTCTCCCTCTCTCCCCTCATTCCACTCTCTCTGAAAAAGCAATGGAAAAAATATCCTCTGGTGAGGATTAAAAAAAAAAAAAAGAATAAATCACTGATTATGTCTAGAAATCATTAAAGGCTTTTCAAAGTATAAAAATTAGTTTCATTATAGTCACTTAAAATACAAAATTATTAGACATCACTCACACTTTTCATTGGGATTCTGCTGCTCCCTATTCCACATATTTTTGTGCCTGTCACAATGCCTAGATGAATGTGACCAAACAGGATCAGAATTCATGCAGAAGACAGAGAGGGCTACACTCTTTCTCCTTTTATGACTTAAAGCTGTAAAGATGATGTATCTTAGTCATTTGGAAAGTGTCTGAGAATGAAGATAACCGAAAAGAAAAGAGAGCTGCGAAACGAAGAGGCAGAATGCAGTTACCATTGTTCAATCACTGGGTTTTTTACCTGAAATTAGGACCCAACATTTGGTCTTCCTCATCACGAGAGCAAATAACTTTTTACTTTAGGTTAGTTGAATTAGGTTTCTTCAATTTGTTACTTATAAACCAACTTAAGTATTCAATATCATCAAAAGTCTACAATCATGAACATAACTGTTAAATTTAATTTTTATATAAACAAAACAAATATTACTACATATCTTATTTTTAAATGGGCTAATAGTTTTGATAACCTGTCACTGATTTATTTTGCCTATTAAAATCCATGTTCATCATCAATCAATTTATTTGTTAAGATTAATCCATATAATCCCTTATAAATACTAAAATACGCAAAGGGGGTTATCAACAATATTATATTCTGACAAACTGAAAAACAGAAGTCTATTATAGATACAGACAACACTGTGGTGATTGCAGGGAAAAGGCAGGTGGGGGAAGGTGGAGAAGGGTATAGCGGGGATAAATGGTGATGGACAAAGACTAGATGTGGGGTGGTGAACACACAATACAGTATACAGATGATGTGTTGTAGAACTGTGCACCTGAA